GGCGATTAACCTAAAAAGAAAGCAAAAACAAATGCAACTGACCAGATGCAACAACGTATTTAATTTAATAAGGAACAACATATCTAATTTCTTATTCTACATTGATAATCTCAAACTCTTAGCCAAAGACAACAATGATTTGAAAGGTCTCCTCAATACAGCAAAAAGGTTTCAGTGAAGACATCAGTATGGATTTCGGATTAGATAAATGTGCAAAAGTAACATTAAAGAAAGAGAGAATTACAGTAACAGACTGAATAGATCTAAATTTTGTCATAAAGATTATGGAATTGACAGAAGAAGAAGCCAATAAATACGTAAGAAGTCAGCGAAGGAGATGGAATACAGCATGCCCAAATGAAGGAGAATATAAGAAAAGAATATGACAGGCGTGTGCATCTGGTGTTAAATACCAAATTGAATTGACAAAACAGAATATCAGCGATAAAAAAAAACTTTTGTCTGTCCCTGTGATGCAATGAAGTTTTCGTGAGTATGGCTGACATTAAGTGAATGGATTTGGAGTTCCCCCGCCCCCAGGGCTCCATCGTTGGTCCTGCTTTGTTTTTACTTTTTATTAATTACCTTCCCAATGACGCTGGTGACACAACCTTTCATTCTTACTTCGATACTAACTGGGACAACAGATAGCTTGTTAATTTTAACGCCTTCAAATCTAATCTTCTCTTCATTAATAATCTGAGAGACCTCTTGCTTCCTTCCATCAGCATGGCTGATGCTATCCTCCAGGAAAGTGAGTCATTGCGCCTTCTCGAGCTCACGTTCTCAGCTCTTTTTTTTAAGCGTTTGACCCCAAGCAAGGCGGGAAGCTACTAGCACGCAAGGGGTTACAGGGAGTTGGAGTTAGAACAAAGCGGAGTGATAGAGGAAAGGATGAAGAGAAGGACAGGGGATAGATCAAATTATCTGGAGACGTCGATTGACATTACATTTGAATAGTTGGAGATTATAGCTATCAGGGAAACAAGAAAAAGTGAGGGATTTCCACATGCGAGAAGTGCAAGATATGAAGCTATTGGGGTAGAAGAGACAGCTACATTTAACAGTTTCGACAGTGAAAGGGTGAGAGCGAGATGCCAGCCTAGTTGCACGCTTAAATACATGAAGTCTGGGAACCAATGAAAGCAGCTCATCGGAGCAGTTACCATGAAAGTATTTGTAAAAAAGACAGAGGGAGGCGACAGTGCGTCTGTGATAGAGCGACTGCAGACGAAATGCCAGACCAGGGCCAATTACACTGCATATCCGTCCCTGGATTTTATCAAGAACCTTGAGACAAACAGAAAGGGCTCCAGACCATATATGGCAGCAATACTCCATGCAAAGGGAGTCCACATGGTTTGTGGGAATCTAGTTTAGAGATGATAGCAGAAGCCAGGAGGGGTATATGCATATCATTCAACAGAGACTCAGTTCTAAGTGGGAAGTTAGGCAGGGATATTCCTGTTGAATCAAGAGTAGAGTTTGAGGAGAATTTACGTGCAAAACATTCGGTTTTATCAGCCGAGGATGTTAACACATCAAAATGATTGAAGTTGGAAGGAATACAGACCTTACACTTATTTAATACCCTACTACAAAGCCGCCAGTAATCAAGAGGGCCAAAGTTGTTAGAAGTTACGTGGTGCCTCATTCTCTTGGCAAATAGTGGCTCAGATCTTTCAAGGACTCGTTTATATTTATTACGTGCAGAAATGAATAGGCACCTGTTGTGGTGGGAGCTGTCACGCTGGTATAGACAAAAACAGTGGTCCCTGTGTGTTATAGAAACCGATCATGCTGGTGTAAACCATGGAGAGGACTGAAGTTTCACTTAGTATTTCCGAGAAGGGATGAAAGCGTCCATGTCGGCTTTGATCCAGGAAGAAACCTCACTAGCGCAAATCTCAATTAGTAAGTTAAAAATGTCAGACCAATGGGCGTCACGAATAAAACCACGGAGTCCCAATAAGCATATTGGTAACGGAAAGAGAATTCTGAATAGGGGTTTCCTGTTTAATAGGTGATTGGAATGAAATATCAATATATGCTAGTGAGTGGTCAGAACTACCAAGAGGGCAATGTTGCGATTTTCAGCTAGAGTGAGGAGAGGAGGTAAGAAATGAATCAAGTAGAGAAGCTTGTTGCTCGGTTTTGCGAGAGAAACGAGTAGGGAAGTCCATGATTTGATTAAGGGATTGGGCAATGGAAAAATTCTAATGTCTGAATACCGGCACCATCAGGACCTTTGGAATGTTTCAGTCACTTGTCATGGTGGGTATTAAATTCACCAAAGACAAAGGTATTCGAAGACGGAGAGCAACAAAAGAAAAAGAGATAGCTAACACATTAAACATTTAAAACACCATTTTTTTAACATGTCGACCTCCAAAGATCAATTATGAAATTTGACATCAAGTTTTTTGATGTAGCTGTAACTTCTATGCCAACAGTTTTTCTCATACTCCCTGCTTGTGGAACTCCCTTCTGTCTCCATGCTTTCCAGCCAACTTTTAAAAATTTAAATGCAATGTCTATCACTATATACTGTCCTCCTGATTACTCCATTGGTGCAATTTTCAATTGGAAGGGTAAAGATGTCAGTACAAGGGGCATCAGAAAGAAAATCACGGAGTGAGTCCCAATAAGGATGCTCATAATAGAAAGCTGTCTTATAAATAGGAGATTCTTGTTTAATAGATGATGGGAATAAAATATCAATAGCTACCATAGAGTGGTCAGAGTTATCAAGAGGGCAAGAGCAAGGAAAGGAGGTAAGAAAGAAATCAAATAGAGAAGACTGTTGCTCAGTTTTATTAAGGAAATGAGTATAAAAGTCCACGATTTGAGTAAAAGATTAGATAATGAACCACATTTATTGTCTGACTAATGGCAACAATAGAATGTTTCAGCCATGTATCGTGGTGAGCATTAAAATCACCAAAGACAAAGATGTTCGCTGAGGGATGAAGAGAAACTGACTTTTCTTTACTGTCAGCAATTATATCTAATATACTGCAATCTTGAAAAGAGGGGGAGAAATAAAGGAAGAAAAATAGCTAACAGAGTTTAGTAACGAAAGACGGAAACACCTTAATGGGTGGGGCTTCTCGAGACATTTCCCTGGACATAGGAAGATTATCCCAAATGTAAACACCAAGCCGATGTATGTGAATGCTGGATTCTTTTCTGCAAAGAAGAAGATAGCCTGGAACCAAGAATTCTTGGTGAAGAAATGCAAGTAAACCGTAATACACCTACTTGTAGCAGCAAAGAACATAAAAAGTAAAGCAAATGCAATGTACCAAATCCAGAAATCATGGCAATTAGCCTCTTCTGCCCGTACCCAAAAAGTCGATGTATACGAACTCCTTACCCATCAATGGTTATGTAGTACATGATTCAAAGCTGAAATCGAAGGTTTTATTTTTACTGCACTGATTGTTAACTAGAAATTACCAAGCACATATACTGAAAAATTGTGTTCATCCGAAATGCAGATTCTGTGATAAATATCCAAAAAGAATTAACCATCTTGTATCAGGTTGCACGGTATTAGCACGCACTGAATATAAAACATTGTGGGTCAATATCTGCACTGGAACATCTGCAAAGGGAAGGAAACTGCAAGAAATCGGTATGAACACCATCCAGAACCGGTTAGAGAGATAAGACCTGTGACAATTTTATAGAACTTTACAATACACACAGACAGAACAATCAAATTTAATCGCCCAGGCATCAAGATCAAAGATCACAAAAACAGAATGTGCTTTCTTATCGATATGGCAGTTCCTGCAAACTGTAATGTATCTTTGAAAATCTAGCAAAAACTATCAAAATACTTGGATCTTTAAGTGGAAATCTAAAAAATGTGGCACCTGAGGATATCAATAATTCCACTTGTATTTTGGGGCCCTTAGCTTCATTGGAAAAGTTTATGATAGATTCACTAAAGGGATTTTGGTGGCCCATGCCTTAAAGAAATACAAAAACTTTTACTCGCAAATACAGTCCACGAAGGGCTTTATTAATGTATAATATTTAGTTGTTTTAGTTTTTATTCTTTACAAAAATGTCCAGTAGAAAATCTCATGATGCCATGATGCCTTAAGAACACATGGCACAGTGGATAAAGGCGTTGGTTAGATCCAGTGACAGGACCTAAAGTATGGTGAGTTCAATACCTGGTTAAGGCTGTGGAGAACTTGGAGAGGGGAATTAACAGGAGATAACTGATAACTGACATCCATTAAACATGGCACGTGGAACTAGAACAGTCTACCCCAGTGAGCGAAATAAAGGGTTCAGTTCGACATTCCAACCACCTGAAGAAGGCCACAGTGGACAACGGCCGAAACGTTGTAATAAATATGGCGACAAAGATGAGGACAATAGTCCGAATAATGTAAATAGTGTAAAAAAAACTTCAATATTTACTCTCGTGTCCGAACAAGTGTCTCTAAGCACAAGAAATCATAATAATAAAATCGGTTGCAATATTAGTATAATGTCTTTTCAATATTCGAAGATATTCAGGTAATACTTGTAGTAGTAATTGTGATTTTTGTATGGCATTCATTTTATCGACACTGTAATAACAGCAATCATGCGAGAACTAAAAATCAATACGTCAGTATTTATTTATGCAAAGACGATAGGTTAAGATTTATTTTAAATAGAACGAGTTTACTTAGTGTTACTCGACTAACAAGTGTGATAACCTATTTTGTTGATCGTCTCATTATGAAAATGGGACCAAAACGAAAAGGAACGAAATAGGTTTTCTTCAAAACCAATATTTTTTTTTAATTCTGAACTGATTTGCATAAACCATTTGATAAAGACAGATGTCTACTAAGCCTAAATTAGTCGGAGTCTAAGTGAGAAGTCACAATGACTGTGTTGCGCCAGTTCGGCATATGTAGAGGGCGTGGCTACTTTTAAAATCAGTTCCTGAAATCTTGACTTTTGATAAGGACGCATTGCTTGAAAAAAACTATTAGATAGATAGATAGATAGATAGATAGATAGATAGATAGATAGATAGATAGATAGATATGAGTGGACTGAGATAGATAGATAGATAGATAGATAGATAGATAGATAGATAGATAGATAGATAGATAGATAGATAGATATGAACAGACTAAGATAGATAGATAGATCGCAACAGACTAAGATAGATAGATAGATAGATAGATAGATAGATAGATAGATAGATAGATAGATAGATAGATAGGAAACTGTTATCTTTAGTATCACATGGTCTAAAACGAGCTCAATGAGAAACATCTGATTGTTATTCTAAACAGGTAAACATAATCGGTGTGTCTTCTCAGAAACAATGTGTGTGTATAAAAATAACCCATCAACAACAATTATTATTTGTCCCAAACAAAGCCTCTCTAACGATGTCTCATGTAAACGCTAGGCAGCGGATAGACACAATAATCACAACATGAAAATAATAGAAAACTATTTTTTTCCTCAACAGGAGGAAAGAGTTTGTCTTTTTTATGGAACTATAATTAATCTGAAATGACTTGAATGGTTAATATACCTCCTATTAATGAGGCAAGTTTCTTTTTTTATTTTCTCCTATCCACATTGCTGAACTGAGAAGAAAATAAAAAGAAAGGAGGCCAAATAAAGGAAACAGTGTTCGGGTTGTTGCTTGTAGGTTTCTATTGCTTATTAGGTCAGCTTCAAATGAAGCCGGTGAGAGCTAGTCGATTTGTCGTTTGTATTAACGACAAACGAAATTACTAATAAAAACAAAATATACAAACGTTTTTAAAAGACATTATATCCAGAAAAGAAATAATAATAATAATATCTGTCGCTCACCTGTAAGTAGAAATATATACACAATATAGATGTCCAGGTAGATTGGATAAGACCAGTAGGGAGACCAAGCCATGCTTGCATATATACCTGTACCTTCACACTGTTACTAGTTGTAGAAGGTAGGGAGTGGCAGTGTCTATAAAACTAAGTTTTCTTTCTCTTTCTTTCTTTCTTTCTTTCTTTCTTTCGTTGCCTTAAAATAATAATACGAAAAAAAAAAAACGTTGCTGTGACAGTCTTTGTACACGATTTTGGCAGTGAAGTGAGCTTTCACATTTATTTTTATAACTATAGGCGAATACTTGCCAGTCACTGACTGAGAGGTGAACAACTAGCAATAGAACTAATAGGTGAAACCAAGTTGGTTGGGGAGAGACTTGATGAATGGTGGTAGACGAGACACACTGACCGCTGAACGCACGAAGGTAGTCAACAGACTGGATAAAAAAAAAAAAATGAAAGCCTTTGTTTAGAACAGATTATTGATGGCTAAGGATACCATGGACCGAGCGTGCGAGCAACGATGAGATCTTAGAGAGGTTGCAAACAAGGAGGAGGCTTATGCTTAATATCAGGACAAAGCAGCTGAAGTTTCTGGGGCTCATAATGAGAAAGGAAGGCTTGGAGAATCTGATACTCACGGGTCGAATAGAGAGAACGAGAGACAAGTGAAAACAACGCGTGACATACCTAGCAGACTTAAGCACGTGGATAGCAGAACGTGGTCTGGGGGAGGAAGCAGAGGGAAGGAACTTGTTAAGATTTGCAAGGAATAGAGAGAAGTGGAGAGCCATGATCGCCTACACCCTGAAAGGACATGGCACATAAAAGGAAAGATTGATGGATCTTGGCAAAAACTGGAGACCAATTAGATGAAAATTTGACCAAAGTCACACATCTTAATATTATTATTTGATATGTTCAGGACGTGGCCGATTACGGGTCTCCACAGCTTCCTATCCTTTGTGGTACTGAGTAAGGTTTGTCTTTGCGTTATCGATAGAGTTCAAAAGCGTCTCCGAATTCTTGTGGGTGACGAATCATTTTCCACCCTCCAACCTCTCTCTCACAGGCGGGGGTAGAGGCAAGATTATCGCTGTTCTATCGCTACTTCAATGGAAAGTGCGCGGGTGAATGCCTTTGTTCTGCCATGTCTAACCTTCCCGGCTCGGACCCTCCCTGCCACTTATATTGTTGCAAACCACCCACATTCCCTTCGTATACCGTCGGTGAAAAGTAAGTTCCACTCGAACACCTTAACCTGTTCAAGTCAATTGTTAACGGTTATCTTCCCCTCCTGTCATATAAATTACCTCCTTAACGTAACCCACTATCTTGAGTGGCTCTCCGGCTTGTACAGGATGAACCTTACTGTAAAAAAAATTTCTCAGTCCCTGTTCTGCCAACTATTTAGACAAGCCCGTGAGGGAGATGATAATCTATTTTCCATTGACCCTTTTTACCTTCAATATGTCATGTGAGTTTTAGATTCACCAGGTCGTCTTTCTTCATTTTTTTTCATCTTTGTGCTGTTTACTTTCAAGTTCATTTTTTAATCCTGTCCGATATTTTTGTCTAAAAAAAAAAAAAAAAATATTAGCATGCCAAGTTTTTTTGAATGTTTCAACTTGTTCAATAATCGTTTTTTTGTTGTTTTTTTTTTCTTAACAACAGTTGTTCTTTTGCGTGCGCCGACATGAACCGCTATTTCTTCGTCATGTCTGACAGTTACCGAATGTCCTCATTGAGGATTGTACACTCGGACGCCTAGAGATTTCTAGCATTGGCATCATGGACGATAATGTTCTCTGCCCCTGCCTGTGAATGGTTTTTGCGTTTCTCTACAGGCGACTTATCCTCGCTGGAGATTTCCAATTCAATTCGAACCTTGTACACAAACGACCGAGCGACTTCCAATCTCAACATCGCTGTATTTTGTGCGTATCGCGACAACTATAGCATGTCGCTCCATCTCGTGTATTAGCTGATAGTTTCGCATTGATACGCCTGAATAGATAAAAGCGTATGAATTGTTTATTACACGACTGCAGACGCACAATCGCATGTCCCCAAATACCTTACGCACCTTGGACAATAAGAGACAAATCCTCTCTAAAATGCGCCATAAATCTATTTGCAGCGAAAAATGAGCCCCTACCCGGGCTTAGACGTGTATATACGTTTTTATGGAAAGTATATTTTTCAGACACGGACGAATAAACACGTCCAATATATATATATATATATATATATATATATATATATTATATATATATATATATATATATATGTGTGTGTGTGTGTGTGTGTGTGTGTGTGTGTGTGTGTAAGCAAATATATGGATATAGATCCCAGAGTATGAAGAAAAAAAACAAACAAAAATCCTAGTATGCGATTATGCTGTTTTAATGTTTAATGTCAACGTCGGACATTTCGGTCTAATATACCATCTTCAGGACATATTTATAAAACAATTAACATAGATGCGTTCTGAAAATGAAAAGTTTTCCCAAAATAATTGGCGGGGAAGGAGTTAAAGATTATTGATTTCGATTTTCTTACACAAATTCTTGAAGATAATAATTCTAGTCACTGGATCTAACCAACGTCTTTATCCGATAGGCCATAGCTCCTTGAGAGTTGCAAGTTCAATACCAGTCCACAGCAGCGGTGAACCACACTTAGAGATTTGAGTTAAAGGTAAATAACTGAAACATCCAGAAGAGGCATGACATATTAAGTTAGAAAAATCTACCCAAGAGAAAGAAAAAAAAAGGGTTCAGTTGGAAATTACAATCACCTGAAGAAGGCCAGAGTGTACAACGGCCGAAACGTTGAAAATATGGAAATGAACATGAGGATAACCATCCGAATAATGTAAATAGTACAAATAATATAAAATATAATAAAATCATGTAAGTAATGTAAATAATCATAATACATCTTCTCAGAGATATAGACAAATATAATAAAATAATGTAAATAATATAAGTATACATAATAACTCATTTAAGAAATATAAACAAATATAATTAAATTATGTAAATACTGTAAGTAGTCATAATACTTCATTTCAGAGATATAGACAAATATAATTAAATTAGGTAAGTAATGTAATACCTCAACTGCGACATATAGAGAAAGATAATAAAATAATGTAAATGATGTACGTAATCATAATACTTAATTTCTGAGATATAGACAAAAATAATAAACATATGAAAGTCATCATGATACATCATCTCAGAGATATAGAAAAATATAATAAAATAATGTAAATATTGTAAGTAATCTTAATACTTCATTTCAGAGATATAGACAAATATATTAAATGATGTTAGTAATCATATTACAATATATCAGAGATATAGAGAAATATAATAAAATTATGACAGTCATCATGATACATCATCTCAGGCATATAGACAAGTATAATGAAATTATGTAAGTAATCATTATACATCACCTCAGAGATATAGAAAAATATAATAAAATAATGTAAATAATGTAATTAATTACAATACCTCCTTTCAGAGATACAGACAGATATAATAAAATTATGTAAATAATCATAATACCTTATCTCAGAGATATAGACAAATATATTAAAATTAGGTAAATAATGTAGGTATTCATAATACCCCCATTTAAGAGTTACAGACAAATGCAATAAAATTATGTAAATAATATAAGTAATCATAATACCACCTCATCTCAGAGATATAGAAAGATAAAATAAAATAATGTAAGTAATCATCTCAAGGATATAAACAAATATAATAAAATTAGGTAAATAATGTAAGTAATCATAATGCCTCATTTTAGAGATATAGACAAATATAACAAAATTATGTACATAATGTAAGTAATCATAATACCTCATTTCAGAGATATAGACAAATATAACAAAATTATGTACATAATGTAAGTAATCATAATACCTCATTTCAGAGATATAGACAAATATAACAAAATTATGTACATAATGTAAGTAATCATAATACCTCATTTCAGAGATACAGACAAATATAATAAAATTATGTACATAATGTAAGTAATCATAATACCTCATTTCAGAGATATAGACAAATATAACAAAATTATGTACATAATGTAAGTAATCATAATACCTCATTTCAGAGATATAGACAAATATAACAAAATTATGTACATAATGTAAGTAATCATAATACCTCATTTCAGAGATATAGACAAATATAACAAAATTATGTACATAATGTAAGTAATCATAATACCTCATTTTAGAGATATAGACAAATATAATAAAATTAGGTAAATAATGTAGGTATTCATAATAACCCCATTTAAGAGATACAGACAAATGCAATAAAATTATGTAAATAATATAAGTAATTATAATACCTGAACTGAGACATATAGATAAATATAATAAAATCATGTAAGTAATGTAAATAATCATAATA